AGCACTGTTGTCTCACAGCGCCAGGGACCCAGGTTTAATTTCAATCTTGGGCGACTGTACGTGTGGAGTTTGCACGTTCTCCCTGTTTCTGCTGGGTGCTCCAGCCCAGGTTAGGTGGATTAGTCATGCTAAATTGTCCATAGCGTCCAGGAATTTGGAGGCTAGGTGGATTAGCCATGGTGAATGCAAGGTTATGAGGATAGGGTAGGGGGCTGCTTTTGGGTTGGATCCTCTTTGGAGGGTCAGTGCAGATTCAATGGGCTGAATGGCCTCTTTCCATTTTATATGAATTCTGTGAACTATTTTTTATGCTCATAGAGGTATTTTTGTTTTGGGAGTTGATCCACATTGCTCCATGACTTGCCCTGGATCTTGACAGTCAGCTTGCAATGTTGTGCTGCGGGCGTATATTTGTAGCAGACCTTTGTCTTCTGGATGGTTGCTATAGGCTAATTCTTTCACATCTTCAATGACTCTGTCAATTGGGGTTTGCATTATCTGAATATGCAGCTCAATGACAGATTGTCATGTTGTGTTCTGGAGCTGCTGTAAGTTTCTGGTGGATTATCTCCACTTCCATAGTGGGAAGTTTCTTGGATGTGGAGTGGAATGTTGCAGCAAGGAAATTCAAAAAGAACATTGGTGCAATGACACAGCCTCACTTGATCCCAGTGTAAACGCATACCAGATCTGTGGGCATCCATTGGTGAGGGTCACGGTTTGCATGCTGTTAAACTGCAGGCAGTGGATGGTGATGAATTTCTATGGACAACTGAAATTTTTTTCCAAAAACTGAAAGAACTGCAGTTGCTGTAAATCAGAAACAAAAATATAGAGATTGCTGGAAAAGCTCAGCAGGTCTGGCAGCACCTGTGAAGAGAAATCTGAGTTAACATTTCGGGTCTGGTGACCCTTCCTCAAAACTGAGTTCTGAGCAAGGGTCACCAGACCTGAAACATTAACTCTGATTTCCCTTCATAGGTGCTGCCAGACCTGCTGAGCTTTCCAGTAATCTCTATTTTTGTTTCTGAATTTTTTCTAATCAGTCACGGAATGTGGGTGTTTCTAGCTGGACCAGCATTTATTGCCCAGAGGGGTAGCACAGTGGTCAGCACTGCTGCGTCACAGTGCCCAGGGACCCAGTTTTGATTCCAGCCTCAGGCGAAGTTTGCACATCGTCCCCGTGTCTGTGTGGGTTTCCTCCAGGTGCTCCGGTTTCCTTCCACAATCCAAAGTTGTGCCTGTTGGGTGGATTGGCCATGATAAATTGCCCATAGTGTTCAGGGATGTGTAGGTTATGTGGATTATGAACTAAAAATTTAATTCCCATGCATGCATGGGAATTGCAGGGTTACAGGGATGGGGGGGGTGAGTCTGGGTGGGATGCTCTTTGGAGGGTCAGTGTAGACTTGTCGGGCTAAATGGCTTGTTTCCACATTATAGGGATTCTGTGAGGGTAGTCAATCACTTTTCTGTGGTTCTGTGAGTCACATGTAAGTCAGACCAGGTAAGCACAGCAGGTTTCCTTCTCCATAGGACTTTAGTGATACAGATGGGTTTTTATGACAATTGACAGTGGTTACATGCTCACCATTAACCTAACTTTGTACTTCAGATCTTTTATTGAATTCAATGATTCAAAAAGGCAGCTCACCACCACCTTCTGAAGGGCAACTAGGGACAGGCAATAAACGCTGGCCAGCCAGCGACACCCATGCCCCACGAGTGAATAAAAAAATGACCCTACAATTAGAAGACTATTACACACAAAATACTAAACAGTATTACTGGAAACAGTACTTGAAAAATGAACAACCTAATCTTGCTAAAGCAGGTCATCCAATGGCTCTTCTCAGCTTGCTGAAACCTGTCATACCTTTGTTACCACTAGACTTGATGACGCCAAAGATATTCCTGGTTAGACTCCTTTAAACACAAGCCCATCCAAAGTGCTACCTGTACCCAAACTTGCACCCAGTCCTGCCTGTCCATCCCTATGCTCACTGACCTACATTGGCTTTTGGTCTGCCAATGCATTAATTTTAAAATTCTTACTCGTCTTCACCTCATAAGGACCTTTCTCGATCTCGGTAACCTTCTGTCGCTCTTGCAACATTCTCTGCACTCCTCCAAACTTATTCTCCAATTTAATTAGTTCATCACTGATGTCCATACCTTCAGCTTTTTAGGCTCTAAGCTCTGAAATTCCCTGACAAAACCATACTCTATTTTCCTCCTCTGTTAAGACACTCCTTCAAACCATTTCTTTGACCAATTTAGTCACCTGTCCCAACATCTCCCGATGTATATTCTTTGGCTTAAAACTTAGTTTGACAGCATTTCTGTGCAGACCCTTCAGCCATTAAAAATGCAATATAGGTCTTGCTACTGTGAATTAGAGTTGTCCTTATATTTAAGTTTTCAACTTTTGGTGTGGCACGTTGCTGAATGTGTAAGGTGAAATATCACAGCAAGGGAATTAGGGCATCTGACACGAGTGAACAGAACGAATGACAGCATATCTCCTTTACCAACCAGCTGAAGGATTAGTAAATGAATGGTGCAAGGCCAGATAAGCAGTATAAATTAGAGAGGGTGTATTCAATATCAGAAAGGAATAAGGAGGGGAAGAAAGGTTAGGAGATGGAAAAAGTAAAATAGGACTAGTCAATTATAGTTATATGTTTTACAACCTCTAATGTAGTATCAAAAAAAGAGAGAAAATCAACAGTAAATTATCAGTGACAGGGAGATGTGTTTGTAATATATACGTTGTTAAAAAGGTACCTGGACTTGACATGATAGGACAACTTTCTGGAACTCTCTTGCCAACAGCATTATGGTGTCCCTGGACCCCACAGACCACAGCAGTTCAAGAAGGCATCACAAAATCAACTTCTCAATGGCAATTAACAATGAGCAATAAATGAATAAATTTTTAAAAAAATCTGTGACGGGTTTAGTTCGTTAACGACTGCGCAAACACAGATATATCCTAACATTCAGCATCATTCAGTGTAGTAAGCGAGATACTATTTCCATGAAGCTAATAACATGGACAGAATCCTGCTCCTATGATGCTGCTTGGCCTGCTATGTTCATCCAGCTCTGCAAGCCTTTCTGCTTCTATGATGCTGCTTGGCCTGCTATGTTCATCCAGCTCTGCAAGCCTTTCTGCTCCTATGATGCTGCTTGGCCTGCTGTGTTCATCTAGCTCTGCACCTTGTTGTCTCTGACATTGGTATTTAAATCTGCTTTTCAGCTGAATTGTTATATTATCTGAGCAGAACGAACAGTAGGCATCACTGACCCTGCCTAACTTTCGACCCAGATCTTCTGGTCAAAGGTGAAGTGGGAACACTCATTGCTGGCCACATTCAAAACTTTCTACTTCACAAAATTGAACACATTTCCTGCTTCCATTCAGCGACTTTCAGTGATATTAAATATATCTTTTTGATTCCATATATCTCCTCTATCCGAAGACCTTCCTCCTCGTTGCCACAACCTGACCAATCTTCAGCCACTAAGGCAATTTGGATTCAACTTGGCAAGTTACCTTCTTTATTAGTCTTCCATGGGGGACCTTGGTCGAAGGCCTTACTGAAATCCAGATAAACCATATCAACTGCATTATCCTCATTTACACACTTCGGCACCTCCTCCAAATTTTCAACCAGATTTGTGAGGCAAGACCTCCCTCTGACAAAGCCATACTGATCAAACCTTCAGAACTTTTTTCCATAGGTTTCCCTACCACTGATGTGAGGCTAACTGGTCTGTAATTCCCTGCTCTGTCTATCTTCACTACCCTTCTTGAAAAATGGAACCACACTGGCTGTCCTCCAGTCCTCTGGCGCCTCTGTTGCGACCAGAGAGGAATTCAAAATTTGGGTCAGGCTCCTGTAATTTCCTTCCTTGTCTTCCAGAACAGCCTGGGATAAAGCTCATCCAGACCTGGGAATTTGTCTACTTTTCAACCCGGCTAAACCTCCAAAATCTCCTCAATCACTTTATCAAACTGCTCAAGAATCTCATAGTCCATCATCTTCTCGAATTCTGTACCTACATCCTCCTTCCCTTGAGAGAACTCATTTAGCACTCTACCAATGTCACTGGCTCCATGTACAAATTTCCCCTTTCACTTCTAATAGACCCTACACTTTCTCTGGTTATTCTCTTCCCCTTGATAAACTTGTAGAATATCTTGGAATTGTCCCTAATCTTGCTCGTCAACATTTTTTCATGCCCCCTGTCCTATGTGTTTTTTAAAGTTCTGTCCTGCACTTTCTATATTCCTTTAGGGCCTCTGTTGTTTTTCTCCTTTGTATCTGTTTTATGTCTCTCTTTTCTTTTTAATCTAGTCTGGAATATTCCTAGCCATCAAGGGTTCTGTGGGCTTGTTGCCCTATATTTCACCCTAAAGTAAACATATGGAGTCTGTTTATTCCCCAATATCATTTTGAACACCTCCCCAATGCTCTGCTATAGATTTACCTTCAAGTAGCTGTTTCCAGTCCTGGCCTGATTCTGCTTCATTTTAATAAAATCTGCCACCACCCAAACTAAAACCTGTTTTTGCAGACCATCTTTCTCCTTTTCCATAGCAAACTTATAACATATGGTGTTGTGGTCACTATGACTAAAATACTGCCCCCAATGTCACCTTGCCCACCTGTTTTGGCTTCATTCCCCAGAATTGGGTCCAACATTGCACTGTCCCTTGGTAGTGCCATCTACATGTTGATATGAAAAGTTCAGCTCACTCCTATTCACCTTACTCCACAGCCCCAGCACTGCTCACTTCCCTTCCTCAGCGTTTGCACAGTCCACCCACAATCTTGGCTCACCTGCTGATATTGGAAACAAGGCAGTGGTGAAGGAGCATGTAGTCAACTCAGGATCAATAAGGGAGGAAAAAGATGATTATAATTTGGCATTCTCCTTTAGATTCCAAATGAGATTAGAGCATTAACAAAGACCAAAATAACTCCATTTACTTTGTATTTTTAGACTTTTATTTAACTTGAAACAATATGAAAAATAAAAAATTCAATTCCATGAGAAATCTAATGTAAGTACTCAATTTCTAAAACCTAATTCATGTTGTTATATCTCAATATGACGAAAATAACGTCTCCAGTTTTGCAAACAGTGATGAGAGTCCAGCATTTGTTCCAGTTCTCACAGGCCAACAGTCCAAACTTTCCTGAAGACGTAAAAATGGCACTGAAAAGCAACACTGTCCCATGAGGGAAATCCCAGAAGAAGTGAGAGAAAGTAGATTAAGACAAAATGTTCCAGTGGAAGAGACAGCCAGCGTGTACTATACTGCACATGAAGCAGGATATTACAACATGCTGTTGTAATTCCTTAACTTTGAGAGAGGAAATATAGTGGGGAGCAGGGATCATATTAATTCCACAACATGCAAGGGAGAAAGAAGATAGAGTTTCTCTAGTGTTGCAAACACTGATCAACAGAGCAACACACCATATTATAGGAGAGGTAAATATATTTCTCCCTTTGCATATGGCTTCTTATTAGTTTCTCATTATATTTCCTCTGCAGTATATCGCAAATTATGACTACTGGCTCAACATTATCTTATAATAATCAATTACATTAGTTATAGTAGCAGCTTATTGCTACTGTAAAGCTGTAAAATTGATTGAGACAATTTTAGGAGTGGTAACTGTTAAACACATGCTCACTTCGCTGATCTACAGAGCAAAAAGATTGTCAAATGTTCCAGTGCGAGCAAAGAATATTAAGTTTGTGTTGCCAAGTACAATGGTTTGGAACTTGTGTAAAAGCTGCTTAGGTTAATTGATCTAATATATAATGGATGAACTATACTGCCCACATGGTAAGAGTTCAACACCCTGTGCAATGAGGCATATGTGTTGCACAATCAGGGATTGTACTACATGTGACTATATCAATTTCAATGTCATACTTCAGGGACATTACCTCTGAGAACAAAATTAACAGCAACATGGCCAGAAAGTGTGGCTAATATAATTCTGGTTTAAAATCAGATCTACAGTCTTGTTTTAATTTAATGTCCGATTTCTTTTAAGATAGTGGTGAGAAGCAGGAATCCGTGTGATGTCTTTCATCCCTGATTCCCACCCTCACTTTTGTTGGAAGGAGTAATGAGACTAATTGTAGCACATGATGAAGATCAGCTAACCTGAGCCCAATGAAAACTACTGCCACTCGGCTTGCCATGATTTACAATGCTCCTTGCAAATCTTTATCCACCACTGCAGGGAGCTAATTGCTGGGTCTGCATTTCTATTATAAACAGAATGCACACATCTAGCCTGTGCATCAATCATACCTCTGAGAGTTATCAGCATGCAAAGAATTTCAACTGATACACTTTGTGAAGAATCACCAGCGTTGTGTGGATTTAGGACAGACCCAATGTCTCCTGATTTGCCCAAAGCCACTCCCAGTACTTGTTGAGTTTGTGATCTCGTGGCTGCACCTAGGAAACAAAAACAAAGAAAAACTATGAATGAGGAGAGAATGTGCTCATAATCATTTACAGATCTTCTGTTTTTGTGTGTTTGGAGTATAGTAGGAAGGTAATTCTATGCACACAATTCAACATACTGAGTTGTTACTGTCTTGTCACTGAGTAGAAGCACAAAGATAAGACCTGGCATATTCTCACATGGTGCCTGGTTTGGAATCAGAAGCAGGGTTGGGATGTTAGGGAATTGAGTGAGCATTTAAGACTATTGTTCGGTTATTATTGTGCAGAGTTCTCTCTTGATCACTAGCTGCTTGATTAATCTTGCTTAGTCAAGAAACACCCAAGTTATCTCAAAACCATGGAACAGATGGAGAGACTGAATTTCTTTCCCACTTTGTGTGTCTTCAGTTGAGACTTACTGTTTTACAAAGGTGCAACAACTGGAGAGCAATGGAAATGCTCAAACTTTAACAGTTGGAATGGCTTGATGCTTGTTTTAATCTTACTAAATGTAGAAGTGGTTGTCACAAAATACAGAATTAAACCAGTGAAAGGGGCTAACTTAAAGGACTGGAGAGAATCACAATGAATCATAGGCAAACATAAACAAAGGATTGACACAAATGGAAATAATGATAAATAGCATGACAAAATTGTGCCATAGAGATTGCAAACACACCACTAACAATAAGTGACCCTAGATATTTTATAATCAACCTGTTCAGACACTATTACACTGGGTGAGCAGATGAGGCTTGTTAATAAGCGAATTTATACAAAATAATTAGTATGTTACATGTGCATCAAAAGATTTTTAAAATTTATCTCTTTTTATAGCCCTTTCCCTGAAATTGCATTTGTAATGCGCCTTTGATTTGTCAATTATTGGCTGTAAATTGATTGTACTTATTCTGCCTTTCTTTTAGCCATTTTGAACACCCAAAAATCATCCTTTCAATTTTCTCTGTTTGAGGAAAGTAAATTAGGAAAACTGAGAAAATAGTTTTATATTTTTGAGTTTTCATCCAGAGATGTCCTGACAAACATCTCAAGGTACTGTTTTTCTCCTGTCCTGAGAAGCCCACAAGGTGAACAAGTATTCAAAAAGTGGCAGGAGCATTTACCTTTCCCGAGTCCATCAAAGCCTCTTGGTACCCGGTTTGTATTTTATTTCTTGCTATAAACCCCAACATCCCTTTGCCTTCTCACTTCAAATGGCTTAATTGCCTAACAATTTTAAGATACTGTGTATCTAAATGTCCACATCTCCTTGTTTCTGAACCGTATTGTAAAGTCTACATACAAATTTCTATTCTGTATTCTGTATCACTTCATGCACTGATGATGAAACTGAAATAACTCCAGAGGCCAGTATCCTGTCACCAAGTTGCCCTTTTTTTTTTAAAAACCACGTGGAGAGTCGTTGATGCTGATCCAGCTCCCTCAGAGCCAGCTCTTAGAGTTAACAGGATATCTGTCAGCCAGGGCTTTGTGATTAGACCAAATTAACAGCCCCAAAATCAAGGAACTCATATACTATGACGTCCACTGGCTGACCTTGTTATATAACTACATTCCCCCACACTCTTCTGAGTCGGAGGACATAGGCTGGTTCATTTCTTTTTGAAGTTCCTCCTGGGGCACTTTAGCACCGGATCGGGTTCCTTCGACTCTGCCTTTGATACAGACAGTCTATAATGCACTTGGAAGAAATTCATTCCCTTCTTCAGGTGGCAGAGGTGTCAAGGGTTGACATTCATCATGTCCATCTCAGATTCTGAAGTATTTTCAACAGGTGACGGAGAGGGAAAACCCACAGGTTCTGGAAGAGTCCAAATGGATGTTGAGGAGCTGGGCACGTTTTGCGCTTGCAAGGTTTGGGAATTTGCAGTTTTCACATGGTCAACCTGCTTGTTCAGGATCATCACAACTACCCAAACTTTATTTGTCACTGGACCTGATCCCACGTCGACCATGCCCCCTACCCACGCAGGGCCATTTCCATGGTTCCTACACCAAATCTCTTCCCAAAATAAACTGTCCCTCTCGCTGAGCGGAGTCTTGTATTGACATTAACATTCCTGATGTCATTTCACCCTCCTCCCACAACAGGTCCGGGAAGATCAGATTTAACCTAGTGCGGAGTCTTGTCCCTGTTAGCAACTCTGCTGGAGCTATCCCTGTAAATGCATGAGGGATGGTCTTATAATCAAACAGGAACCGGGACAGTTTGTTATCGAGTGAAGCTGTAGGCTGTTTCTTTAAGACTTCCTTCAAACTTTGGATTGCTCTTTCTGGCAGACCATTGGATGATGGACTCTATGGAGCTGTCAGAAAAATCTTTGTTAGAATGATACTAGGAATGAGGGATTTTAGATAAAAAGAAAGATTAGAGAAATTGAGTTTATTTTCCTTGGAGCAGAGAAGATTAAGAGGTGACCTTATTGAGGTGTTCAAAATTATGAACAATTTTTTTTACAAGGTATAGAGGGATGTTATGTTTCCACTAGTTGGTATGTCAGTAGCTATTTGACTTTAGGAAATACTCAAATTTGCTGCTAGTAAACAATAGCCTGTTGTCTGTGACCAAAACACTTCCAGAGTCTGTGTATTGCAAGATGTGCACAGTTTTTCTGTCATCGTTTGTTGAATGAACTCGATGCATGTCCTGAACACTGAGCCCACGAAAGGACCTGCATAGTTGATGAGTAGCCAAGTCCAGGGTTCACCTGGCCATTCCCATGAAGATGGGGGAGCTGCTGGAGATTATTTTTTTCTTTGTTGGCACTCTGCAGCTATGTCTCCATCCAAAGCTTCTCGCCAACATCCTCATTTTAGAAACCCTGGATGACCCTGGTGGAGTTCAGCTAGTATCTGGCGGTGATCTTTGCTCAGGACAATCACTTATGCTCCCCATAATATGCTGTCCTCTACGGTGATCTCTCTGGGTCCAAAAAGGTTTCAGTTCTGGTTGTGATGGCCCTTATGTTTCCCACAACAGCACCAGATGTTTCAGTTTTGCTAGGACTGGATCTTTCTGCGTCCAAAGTCTGATTTTGTTAGCTGTGACTGGAGGTACGTCCAGTAAATTTAAAACTATTCCAGAATTTTCCAGTGGAAGTACTACCAGAGTTAGATCTGCCGGCAGGAGGCAGCTCAATTCACCTGCGTTTGCTACTTGACCTCCTGGACGGTATTCCAACTTGTAATTATATGCACTTCATATTGGAGCCCACTGCTAAATTTGATCTAATGCCATGGGCAGCACTATCTTGTCCTCTAAGTCAACTAACCAGGGGTTTGTCGTCCATTATTATTAACAATTTTACGTCCGTAAAGGTATTGGTGGAACTTCCTGACTTCAAATTTAACCCCAAACCTTCCTTCTCTATCTGGGCGAATTTGTGCTCTGCATTAGCCAAAGACCTGGATGCATACCCTGTATACATAGAACATTACAGCGCAGTACAGGCCCTTCGGCCCTCGATGTTGCGCCGACCTGTGAAACCAATCTGAAGCCCATCTAACCTACACTATTCCATTATCATCCATGTTTATCCAATGACCATTTAAATGCCCTTAAAGTTGGCAAGTCTACTATTTTTGCAGGCAGGGCATTCCACGCCCTTACTACTCTGAGTAAAGAACCTACCTCTGACATCTGTCCTATATCTATCACCCCTCAATTTAAATCTATGTCCCCTCGTGCTAGCCATCACCATCCGAGGAAAAAGGCTCCCACTGTCCACCCTATCTAATCTTCTGATCATCTTGTATGTCTCTATTAAGTCACCTCTTAACCTTCTTCTCTCTAACAAAAACAGCCTCAAGTCCCTCAGCCTTTCCTCATAAGACCTTCCCTCCATACCAGGCAACATCCTGGTAAATCTCCTCTGCACCCTTTCCAATGCTTCCACATCCTTCCTATAATGTGGCAACCAGAACTGTCCGCAATACTCCAAGTGCGGCCGCACCAGAGTTTTGTACAGCATCATTCATCACTTTCAAATATATACCAATTTCTCTTTGAATACCTCATATTGAATCCGTCTCCACTGCATTCCAAATCTTAACAACCAACGAAAGAAGTTTCTCCTTATCTCATTCATAGCTCTCTTGCTGACAATCTTGAAATTGCAAACCTCCCCCTAGTTACTGACATACCAACTAGTGGAAACATAACATCCCTCTATACCTTGTAAAAAAAATTGTTCATAATTTTGAACACCTCAATAAGGTCACCTCTTAATCTTCTCTGCTCCAAGGGAAATAAACACAATTTCTCTAATCTTTCTTTTTATCTAAAATCCCTCATTCCTAGTATCATTCTAACAAAGATTTTTCTGAAGAAGGGTCTAGGCCCGAAACGTCAGCTTCCCTGTTCCTCTGATGCTGCTTGGCCTGCTGTGTTCATCCAACTCTACACCTTGTTATCTCATCATTCTCACAAATCTCCTTCTAACTCTCTCCAGGGCTTTAACATCCTTCCTTAAATAATGTGCCCAGAACTGAGCACAATACTCCAAAAGTGTTGAGCATTCTTCTCCATTGGGCCACCTATGAGCTAATATTACCCAGATGCCATGTGGGGCGCATCACATATCACCAGATCATGCTCGGGATCACAGTGTGCCAACACCTTAGAGGATGATAGCTGTTTCTTCACTTCCCTGAAAGCTATGGTTTGTCTACGTGGCCATTTCCAAGGCTGATCCTTTCTAAGTGTTGATGTAAAGGTGCCAGAATGGAGGCCAGGTTATGTATGAACTTCCTGTAATAGTTCACGAGCCCAAGGAAAGATCTAAGTTCCAGTACAGACATGGGAGCCGGGGTACCTTTGATTGCTCTCGCTTTATCTTTCAACAGGTATGACCCAGTCTTGTCAATTCTGTAGCCAAGCAGGTCACTCAGAGTTCCTGGAACACGTTTTTCCATTGTAAGGCATATACCTGCCTGGGAGAAACGTCTAAGGCCTACGTCCAAGTTCTCTAAGTGTTCCTTATTGGTCTTCCCTGTTGTTAGCATGTCATCTAGATAAATGGCAACTCGGAGGAGACCTTGTAAAATGTTCTCCATTTTGTCCGCTGGAAATCTGCACACCCAAATGGCAGTCCCATATATTGGCACAAACCGTTATGAGTATTAACTGTAGCATACTTCTGGGAATCCTCATCTAATTGCAATTGCAGGTACACATGGCTCATATCTAGCTTCTTGAAGGTTAGACCCTAAGCCAGCTTCGCATAAAAAGTCCTCTATACGAAGGATTGGGTATTTATCCAGCTGCAAAAAGCAGTTTATCGTTTGTTTAAAAGCCCTCACACTCAGTACAACTGGTGCTGCCCATTCCACAAACTGGATTGGTTTAATGATTTCTTTGCTTTACAGCCTCTTGATTTCTGCCTCTACTTTTACCCATAAGGCAAATGGCACTGGGTGGGCCTTGCAGAATCATGGAATCGCTTCCTGGTCAACATGCAAGGTGGTCTTGGCTCCTCTGATAGTCCCTAGACCTTCTGGGTTTCTAATTAGGACTTCACTAAGGCAGCCATTTTCTAATCGAAAATTGCTGGGCCTGAGCCTTTTACTACAATCAGTGGTAAATGCACCAGCTGCTTCTCATAAGAGATTGGAACCGAAGTTGTCTCATTAATCTGTAAAGGCTCCCCCGTATAGGTTCTCAGTTTAGCCGAGGTCTTGCGCAAACTTGAGAGTTGGAGTCCAGACAGAATTTTGTTAAAGACTGGTTCTGTAATCACTGAAATGGCCATGTCAGTCTTGACCTCCATTAGAACCAGGTGACCATTTAACCAGATGTTTATTTTGACTGGTTCCGATATGTACGTTGCTAAGCAATTAACTGTTTCAAACCAGATGTAGATGGACTTTCCAGGGTATGCACTCTCCTGGTTGCTGGCCTATGAGTTCTCTTCCTCAATTTAGAGCTGGTGAAACTCTTTCTCCGTCTTGAGTTCACATACTGGCAGCAACTACAATGGCTTGCCAGCCTGAATCCTGAAGAAAATGTGAACCATTTGGCCAAGGCTTGGCTTTGTTTTGAGGTTTTGCTGTGGGCTGATCTAGAGTCCCTCTATTCACGGTATGTCCTGAGTGAGGCTGTGCAATTGCTTTCACTCAAGTGGTGTTCCCCAACTTCAGTCGGACAGGCAACGGTATCCACTTCCCTTGGAATACCCTGCAACCCATATGCTCCACTTGCTGCATTTTCCATTGATAAAACCTGCCTGAAGTCCAGTTGGGTTTCAGCTAATAGGCGCTTTTACATGATTACATCATTAATCCCACATACCAAGCGGTCTTTCAGTATCTCATTAAGGGTTAAACCAAAGTCACATACTTCAGCCAATCATCTTAACCCAGTCAAAAATCCCGACCTGGATTCCCCTGGTTTTCAAATTGCTGAGTAAAAGCGATAACATCTCAGAATTAGAGGAGGCACAAGGTTGTAGTATTCCTTAACTAAATCCGTCAACTTTTGAAATGTTTTAGCATTGACGCCTTAGTGAAAGTTAGGTTCCTAATTACTAAAAAAGCTGTGGTCCACAAGCTGTCAGAATTACTTGTTACTTCTCATCTGCCCCAATATCATTTACCTGGAAAAATAATGCATTCTTTCACATACTGGGACCAGTCTTTGATGACGGAATCGAATGAGTCAAGCTTCCCAAATAACGGCATGATGCTAGAATTGCTTACCCCAACCAAAAACAATTGTTGCAAGTGAATTTCTTCAAGAGCGTGCTTTTCTCTCGCAGCCACTAAAATAACTCCACAGAGGCTGGTATTCTATCACATCACCCTTTATTTACATGTGGAGAGTCCTTGACACTGATCCAGCCCGCTCAAAACCAGCTCCCAGAGTGAACAGGATGTCTGACACTCCTGTTCTTATCTGTCTTATATTTATTTGATAGGGTACCAACACCAATCTCTGGGGAACACCATTTTCAACTCATCTCCATCTGAGAAATGCCCATCTATAAATATCCTATTCCTTTTCTTTTAGCCAACTTCTAATCCAGCTGCCAAGGGCTCATCTATCCCAAACATTTCTAATTTGCTAACCAGCCTGCCACGTGGCACCGCATCAAATGCTTTCTGAAAGTCCAAATGGATAACATCCACAGTACTACCCTTATCCACTGCCTGTATCGCCTTGTCAAAGAATTAAATTAAATTTGTCAGACATCACCTGCCCTTGACAAAGCCATGTTGACAATCTAGAATTAACTTATTTTTCTCTCACTGCATATTTATCTTATTCCACATTATGGCTTCCAACAGTTTTCCACTATTGATGTCAAGCTGATTGAGTTATCCTTTGCCCCCTTTCTCAGCAACACGTTTGTAATCCTCCAGTCCTCTGAAATTAATCCTGTGATCAGAGAGGCCTTGAAAATTTCTGTCAATTGATTGGTGATTTGCTCCCTTACCTCTCTTAGCAGTGTAGGACGCATTCCATCCAGGCCTGGCGATTTCTCTACCTGGAGTGCTGTCAGGCTTTTTAGCCCCTCTTCTTAATCCATCAACACCCACGTTTTCAACAGGGCTGCTGTGACCATTTTTTAATTTGGGAAAAATATGCTGCATTTACTCACAAAACCATCAAGGAATTTTTCAAGCAAAGCTATATGACTAATTTGGATTGTCATCACCTCTTCTTATAGGTATTAAACACAAATTAGAAAGATTATTTCAAGCAAGTGTCCTGGTGGCCCCTTCAGAGAGATTTACCCTTCTGACTTCCACACACTGGGATATCTACCTTATGCATTAGCCCTTTCCCTGAGGGTTTTGCAGGGTTTATAACTGTAGTTGAAAGAAAGGTGCGGCTCATAAGACTATACATACTTTACAGAAAGGAGCCATTGATTAGCAACATGGAGCAGGACCTATGACTGATCTTTCCCTTGCTCTCTAGTGTACAGGACCAATGTCAATTGTGGCTCTCCTACAAGCACCCTAACTATCTCACCAGGAGGTTAATCTTCCTGACTTGTATCATATAGTTCAGGGGGTGAGGATGGCACGGAGGAAGGGGATCACTGAATTACTGTCATTGGGATGGTGACACTGATACACAGGATTGGAGATGCTGGAGCTGGCCATGTTTCAACTTCTTTCTCCGCCTACACTCCCAGCCTCCAATGTAGAAGCCAACCCAGACTGTAAAATCATCACAACTACTTGAAGAGTCGGTATGTCAGGTGGAATAATTAGGGTAAAGGCTTCTGTTAATGTAAGTGATATAATATCACTTCAGGTGCGAATGCTGTAGTGAACTAATGCCCAGTGTGTGAGAAGGTATGCTAATAGGGTCAGCTGTAGGGAAGGACAAGGTTTGTATGGAGCATAAGCACAGAATTTGTTTGCCGTAAATTATATGCAAGCTGTCAACTCTATTCACCATAGCCACAGGTATGTTGAATATAGGTATAAGATGGGCTGAAGGGCTAAAATTGTTGATAATATTCGACAGATGCATGACCTTGAATGAGTCCTGTGAACATTCCTGTATGTGTCAAAGATGGTACAATTAACGTATTTTTCTGTAATTGTTTTTCTATGCCTGGCTGTTCGTTACACCGCATAAGAGAAAGAGTTTTATTTCAAGTTGACGGACTTCACTTCAGACCAGGATCGCGAACAGTGACAGGAACAATTTCAGCCTCCAGACCAGAATCAATTGAGAGGTCCCCGACGGGCAGAAGGGCGTGAGGCTTATTGTCTTTCTCTTCTCTTTTTCGTTCTCTTTATTTACTTAATAAATGTTCCTTTCTTATTTGTCTTTGATTATTACTCAGTAAACGTTTGGATGACTGTCTGTGTGAAGTTTGCACATTCTCCCCGTTTCCTCCGGGTGCTCTCATAGTCCAAAGATGTGCAAGTTCGGTGGATTGGCCATGCTAAATTGCCCCATAGTGGCCAGGGATGTGTAGGTTAGATGTGTTAGCCATGGGAAATATTGGGCGGGAGATGGGTCTATGTGTGGTGCCCTTTGGAGGATCAGTGTGGACTTGTTGGGCTGATGGCCTGTTCTCACACTGTAGGGACTCTACGATCTAACCGCTTGGATATACCCTGTGATCCAAGACAATATTGAAGCCCTGTTAACAGATACAACTTTTTGACTCTTACCTCCTTCCATTCTTTGACACAGAAAATCCTGTAGGAATCATTCCCATACTTCCCGATGCCATGCAGTTCAATTGGGTATTTCCACTGTTTGGTTAGGAACTCGTCTGTCATGTGGATTACAAAATCAATGTAAATATATTGCAGAACATCACTGCAGTAAATGAAAACATACAACCTGAGGAGAGGGGAAGAGCAGATTCTGTACCAATCATCATATACATCCTATAAACTTCACTACACATCTTTGCTGAGATGTTGTTTTAGCTTCTCATGGAAATCAATCACTATGTTGTACAGTCACCAAACCAAAGCTATTGAGAAATGTCAACTTGTGCAAAGGACCTGTGTACTGATAACTCCTCTTCTCCTAACTCCCCCCACTCTACATCACCCAGTTTTTTCCCATTACTTTTATTACTTCTAAATCCAAATGCTCAGTGGGACGACTGCCAGCCTTCCAGTGACAGTTCTAATATAGTGGCAACTCTGGAACAAAACTCTGAATTATTGTAGACTGACTGGCTCAAGAGCTGAAGTAGCTGCCACACACAATAAACTCTGAACTTCCATCACCAGAGTGGCCTTGACTCCATAGACAGACAGAATTCATTCCCACAGCAGAAAGATTGGAAACCAAAATGCACAGATTCAAGATTCAGGTCAGTCATCAGCAAAGTCAGAGCAGAGATGAAAATAATTTTCTCATGCAATAAATTGTCACAACCTGGAACTGTCTGTCTGAAAGGAATAGACTGGAGAGATGGGGTTGTAGTGGTAAAGTCACTGAACTAGTAATCCAAAACTCCAGGCTCATATTCTGCTGCCATGGTTTTGAATTCCAACATGGCAGATAGCGAAATGTGAATTCAATAAAAGTTTGGAATTAAAAAAGCTAGCCTAATGGTGAGCATGTTACCACCATCTACTGTTGCAAACAAAAACTCCATCTTGTCTAGTCATGCCCTTCAGGGAAGGAAATCTGCATTGTTACCTGGTCTGGTCTGGATGTGACTCTAGACCCACCGTAATGTGCATGACCCTTAAATGACCTCTGAAATGGTTTGGAAACTGCTCAGTTCAAGAGCAATGAGGGATGGCCAACAAATGCTGGCCTTGCCAGAGGTGCCCACACCCATGAAAGAATTTTTTTAAAAATTCAGTAACTCCCAAAAGGAATTAAATATTTACTTGAACAGGGAAAATGCAGTGCCATGGGGAAAGCACATGTGAATGCGATGAACTGGACTGCGCTTCCAGGCGGATAAGACAAGTCAAATGATTTTTAGTGATAGTAGGAACTGTCAATGCTGGAGAATCTGAGATAACAAGGTGTCGAGCTGGATGAACACAGCAGGCCAAGCAGCAGGAAAGCTGACGTTTTGGGTCTGGACCTTTTCTAAAGAAACTTTTTCTGAAGAAGGGTCCAGACCCGAAACGTCAGCTTTTCTGCTCCTCTGATGCTGCTTGGCCTGCTGTGTTCATCCAGCTCTACACCTTGTTATCTTAAATGACTTTTAGTGCTGTGTGATTCTGATGCTAAGAATTCAATAAAAAAAACCCTAACTATCAATCCATCAGAAGACAATGTAAAAATACTGAAGACAGAGACATATTGCTTTAACTATTCATCTTGCACTCAATGGGACAAATGCAAGAACACCAAATTTTAGACAATCACAACAATTCATACTACAGGAGGAAAGTCTGTTAATTGATTGGCAAATTTAATTCTAACTATGGTATTACCACAGAGAAAGTAATAGGGAACTACAGGTTTCTCAATCTCCCAGGTAATTCAAAAAAGATACAAAGCGTGAACAAATTCTTGTAGTTTGCAGAGACCGGGGCTTTGTGTACGAACATGCATTGCTTCTATTGAACATAAATGCGCCACGTTATGAGATAAATAATTATCTTAAATTTGTTGTTGGTGTAGCTATTATTTCCCTTCCCAGGTCCAATCCTCTCTCTGAGCTGAGGAATTAAGTTCTGCTTCAGAAAATTCATCTGGGCTTTGGATACTGTGGATTTCTAGTTCCTGAATGTATGACAAAACACATTCAGCAGTTTTCATTTTTGGAACTGCACTGCGCTGGATAAAACTTAAAGGAAAATTTGAAAATAGGTACTCTGAGGCATGAGTGGTCACAGGATTGTTACAGTACTATTCTACTGCTCCTCCTCGTAAACCTACACACCATTTCTTTTCAAATGATAGCTCTCACCCTGATAGTATTCAACCTCCTCCACCCCTTGACAGTGCTCACCATCCTTGCTCAATCTCCAACAGTGTTTACTTCCTGACAGGATTTGAAAGGTGATGATTGGGGACTTTGGTTAGTCTGAGAGTTGGAGGGGGGTGGGGGCTGAATCTGTGATTCAGGATGGAGGCTGCACATGGATTTGGGTATTAGAGTGCTTTGACACTCCAGCTGATTTCATGAATTGCACTATGTAGGTGTAATGAAATTGCTACGTTAATCCGTGTAACAACCAGGGAAAGTATAACACAAAACAGGCCAAGTCTGCATGATTCCAGCCAATCACAGAGTAATCAATCTGTATAGGGTAAAACCAGCAATGAGAAATTTGAATTTCCTGTATCAGTAGAAAGGATGTGCTTTCATAGGGACTTCTCAAGATTCCAAGGCACATCCGCAAATGAACTTGATCTAAAGGCCTAGCCCCATATATAAGAAGATCCGTGTCACTGTTCTATAATGGAAATAATTGACAATAGGTTTTGGACATATACGAACAAATTAACCAGCATCCCTGTAAACACACTGATTAAAGAATATTTAAGTACCACTTCACCAATCAGATCTAATTGACTGGAGGAGCAGACTCAAAGAGTCAAATGGCTTGCTCCTGCTCTTAATCCCCAAGTCCCTGCATTATAAATATTGTATCTGGGCAGCCTCAATCTTTCAGTTTCAGTATAGTGCGTAGTCTTCCACCAATGGTCAGTCATGTGCAATGTCACTGCATTATTGTGTGGATAACCTACTCTTAGGTTTAGGTAGCAGTCTGACTGAGACAAATATTCGAAAATTCACTCTAGTTCCTAGACCACACATATACAATGTCAAAGGAAGGCTGTATGTCAAAACAAAAACAATGCTAGAAATACATAGGAGGCTATGCAACCAATGGCCACTAGATGAACTGAAAATTCAACATTAGAAAACATTAGAATATTGTGTTTGAACTACCAAAACACAAGAGGTGAAGCCTACAACACACGTGATATTAATCTGCCCAGTGATTTGACAGTCATAATGTTTAATGCAGTTGTGATGTTATTTCCCTTGAAGCTAGCTTTGGGATAGGTTTCTGCATTGTCAATAATTCAGAGATACTTAAAGTAGTTGTCAAATATTTTTTGCTAAAGATATGCAGCTGCCTCACTAATGAATGGTTGACATTTGTAATGTCTTTCTGGCGTTTGCATTTTCCCGAGGGTGTGGTGCAGGTTTACTCCTTGGTTTTCAATAAATATCAGTCTGTGTGGTAACCACCTCCTGATCCATATCGGATTTCCCTCGGCCAGAAAAGTAAGGCATGGGACTTCAGTTTGACGAAGTCTGCAGCTCTCTATTCTCCATGGCACAATGTGATACTTTACCAAAATGTAGCACTTAGCAGAGGAGCCAAGATCAGATCACACTGAGATGTAAACATCAAGAAATTTGGAAATAACACAAAATTTGCAGGGACCAAATTGAGGAAAATAGAAAATGTAACTGAAGAGATCTGAAGTTATATCATTAATGTCCACAGTGTGTCAATAAAGTTGACATACTGCAGGCCCAAATGAACACAGTGGATAATGACATAACTGCATTAAGTGACACAATTCAAGCAAGACCAGCAATAGGTTCTTAATATTTCTGGTTACCAAGTGCTGACCATATTGATTGAGTTCTTTCATGAGTTAGGGGAAGGTTGATCAAGGGAGCACAATTGATGTCGTACAGATGGATTTTCAGAAGGCATTCAACATAGTGTCACACAGGAGACCTGTTAAGGTGATGAAACTATAGGGAAAATGGCTGTATAGATAAAGTTGGTTCAGTAAACAATTGGAGGTGGATGGATGCTTCTCAGACTGGGAGAGGAAAGTAGTGGCATCCCCCAAGAATTAATTTTAAGTCCATGACTTTTCTATTTTTATGAATGACTTTGATTCAGGTGAAGGAAGTGGCATTATAAAGGTTGTAAATGATACAGATATTAACAGAAATCCACGAATTCATGTCGATACAGACAGAATAACGACATGAGTAGTAGCCTGACAATTGGAGTTCAATGAGAAGAGATGTGAAATGATGTCCTTTGAAAGGATCAACATAGAATGGCAGTATACTACATTGGGCCTTCTAATCTGTAAATGTCTATGGTTCCCAGATAATAACAACCACAAAGAATGCAAATGCATAATTTTATAAACAGACTGAACAAATAAAAGCAAACACATCGGGGTTAAGTAATGAAATAGCAACTGAGGAATAATACCAGAAAACTTGATGATAGCTTTTGCTCTCAGCTCATACAGGCCAAGTGGTTTCAGAAGTGCAGCTATTTCTTTCCAATCAGCTACTCGGGCCACCTCCGCAGAAGGGTATCTTTCCAGGAAATCCCACAACACAGGAATGGCCTTTTTACCTGATACAAGAAAAAACTATTACCAGGACTGTTTCAAATTAGTACCTAAATATTCATGATGATTCAGATACTGATAGCAAAGTTGGGATGTGGAATGGTATTCCAGTATGTACATCAAACTTCCCTGAAAAGGCAGATTACATATCCCTCCTCTCTGCCTTAGAAATTCTTTACATTCCAGTTTCCACAAAAGCAATTTCTGAGTCTGATAAATTATGTGTCAAACATTTGGCAGCATTTCTGCTGTGCAATAGGTGTGTCATTTTAGAAAATGAGTTAAGATCCTTCAGAATATGTGTTAGTTAAGCAGCAGTTTGAGCTGGGCCAGAGATGATAGTGTGCTCACCGATTTTCTCTTTATAAGAAGATTTTGAAACAAATATTGTTCTAGTTGGCAAAATATTCTACAGCATTACTACAAGTTATTTTAAAATATAATGTGCTATATTTTACTTTGCAGTCTAGTTATTTTTATTTTTCAGATTCTATACATTAGCTATCATTAATTAGCCTAAGACGATGGTAGTGGGCTGTTATCCTCAATCCCTGCATCCTGGTGAAAGGGATATTCCCGTCTCCTTTAACTTTATGACACACAGCATTAGGTGAGAGAATAACTGCTTTGGAAAGTCTTCTCTGAAGAGTCTGCCACCTGGCAAATGACACCCAGGATGTGAATAAGTGTTGCCCAATCTCCTGGATTCCTCTTAGGGAGAAGACAGACATCACATGGCATCTCTGTCTTCTAACCCGCTCAAAATAGACAACTCACTGTTTGGGTGTGGAGTGCCTGAGTGAGATCAAACCTTCCACACCTCAAAACCAGGATTAAAGCTCAAAATTGTGGAAACTTTTCAATTAGTGTCCTTATCAGTTTCAACTCAATCAGTCAACAAAACTATCCCAACAGTAGCTGCAGTTGAATTTCTCATTGCTAACACCTAGTTTTCTCTGTTAACACCAGACGCTTACTCACCAGAGGTTTTATTAAGAAGTATGGTTGCAATAAGAAGTTTCCAAGGATCATGAAAGAGAGTCTCCTGGACCAGTTTGAATGGGGATCGAGGAGGAATCCATTTGGCAAAGGCTTTACGTCGTGGTGGGCTGGATGCTGTAAAAACAAACCAAAGGCTCATCCCACTGGACTACACCATTTCACAGCACACAGTAAGATCAGATCTGGGTAAAGATTCATACTCCGTACCTCCTTCAGAATACTTCTTAGAAAAGTATGGGCTAGTCTTCCTTTTATCCTGCTTTACTCTTGGAGTAGAATGATTGTCTGTTTAAAAAATGAGGGATGATGAGATATCTAGTGTTTCTGATTAAACACACATATATTCAATTGAAATTTTCAAGTCTGAGATCACAAGACATTTTTTTGGGTAAGAATATCAAGGTATCGGGAGCAAAGACACAGAAATGGTGTTGACTCATATACTAGTAATGATCTAACTGACTGGTGATCAAATATATATGATGCATCTCCTGCTGCTGTGTAATGAGCTTGATGAGCTGAATGACCCAACTTTATTCTATTGCAGTAAACTCAAGGGGGTGAACAGCTTCTCTGTCGTATTCTTCCATAACAGGCTTGAAAGATCGATTGTCTTCTCTTTTTCCCATTAAACCAGCTGACTTTCTAGTTTCAGCTCTTGTTCACATCAATATCCAAACAGTAAATACTTATAGCAGCAAGGTATGGTGCGGCAATGGGTTACAAGAAAGAGCCTCATCCACGGAGTACACAGCAAAGATTTCACCAAAGGCTGGATACTACTTTGAAAAATCAAACACAGACGTCAAATCTTGAGTCATGTTCTGGTGCCTTTTACAACAATTTCAATGGCTCAGCAGGGAATAACTTTTCTGTTGCAGGGTAGTGGGAGATGAAAATGGCACATTTGCAGAAATGGAATAGGGTAGGTTTACATTAGGCTAGTAAGAATAAAGAACATTGAGTTTTCCACATAGATCAGTTCCAGTAGCTGACCTACGCTGGACTGAGTTTACTTAGAGCAATTGTTTAGCCAGGATAATTAACCTCAGTGCGCCTAGGTTTGGGAAGTGGGAATAGCCTGAGTCTTATTCAATCACTAAATCGTAGTCTCTGCATAAGAGCATAAGAAACAGGAGCAGGAGTAAGCCACTTGGACCCTCCAGTCTGTTCTGTCGTTCAATAAGATTATGGTTGATCTGATTGGGTTCTTTACTCAACTTTCCTTCCTGTCCCAATAACTCTTAATTCTGTTACAGGGATGCACAGTTTGGATAAGAACAGAAACTGCCCTGGCTGTAATGCTCTTATTATTAATAGTCTGTCAATGTCTCAGATGCTGGAAGCACAAGTCAGTGGCTTCAGCCAGCCAGGGTTTTCACTCTTTTTATTCTTGTTAGAGAAAAAAAGAAAAGTACAGACACATACATTTCACATTTATGATAAATATGGAATTATACTTTAAATTAAGTACCTTGGGTTTTCAGCAATGTAAAACTGTCCCCACTGGAATCCTTTGTGTCTCTGCCTGTGTCTTCAGAGGGAATTTCTGATTCTGAGCAATGTGAAGGGCTGGTGCTTGGTTTTATTTCAGATCTTCCATTGCTCGTCAGTGCCATCTGCCTGTTAAACTTTGATACTTCAGAGGCAGGCTCATCAGCTTCTTCTACTTGTACTTCCAGTGTCCCCTTGCTTTCAAATGCCTGCTCCTTTCGAGACTGCTTTTTGCTGTCTGCTGCTTGATATTTAGATTTTCTTCTACTGGCTTTCCTCTTAGCTTTGGGACTCTCTTTACCTCCATCAAGTGGGGTCCCATCACCCAGCTCCTTTTCTTCAGATGAAGCAAGTTCTTTCTGGTCTGCTCTTGCAGACAATCCTCTCCTCGAACACAACCACTGCCTGCTAGAGTTTTGCAGTCTTGCACCTTTTTTAGGTTTCTGCTTTGAGGCATTTTTAACCTCTGTCTGCCTCTGTCTTTTACTGCAGCCACCCTTGGTTTCAGATCTCTCCTCTCTATTGGCATCTTGTGACACAGTTTGTGGAAGGTCGACAGTCAATGCGTTGAAATCTTGCGTTGTTGGAGTGGTGGGCTGTAGCTGATCTGACTGTTTATCAACAGTAATCCTTTCCTGAGGACAGCATCGCCAGAAAACATTAATGTCTTCAGGCTTCAGATTTTCCTCTCTGGCACTTCTCTGAAAGTAATTTTTAAGTTCGTTTGAGGATCGAAATTGCTTCCCCTGAGGACTAAATAAAAGAATGTGAATATACCTAAAAATAAAACAGCTTTATCCCCCTCAAGAACATTTGCTTCTTCAACTCCTCTACAATTAAATAATGAAGACTAGCTGATTTACAATGGCATCAGAAACAGGGCTGTCAAGATCAAGACTCATGCGAAGCAGGATTATCATACTGCTATTATAAACATTTATGTCTGTATTACAATGGAAACTTCCTCTGTAAACCTATCACACTGCGATGACACCTGCCTACCAAAACTGCATTTTAAATGTGATGGGGTGTTGAACTGATCGTTATCCCCTCAGTGCCAGTCCTCACTGTGTTTTGTCGATGGCACTTTGGGTAAATGGGATGCACAATCACAGCTTAAATAAAATTTGAACTTTAGTTATAGTTTTATGAAAAAATGGCAGCTTCACTGTCATTTATTAATCTCAGTTCTTTACTTCCTGACCTTAAAGAAAACTGATTCAAAATGTGCAAACTTTACATATTTAGTCCAGGCTTCCAGATCGCCACTCCCGGAGAAGTGTTTCTCTTCTATGCCTCTATATGCAGATCGTAGTCTTCCTGATTTGCCCCTCTTGTTGGGCCTTGTAGTGGTTGTGTCACTGCCACTAGTAATCCAGAATCCTAGGCTCACGTTCTACGAACCTGGGTTTGAACCCGACCAAGTCGGATGGAAAAAATTCTGAATTCAATAAAAATCTGGAATCAAAGCTCACTGTCCATTATTGTAAAACGCCGGTTAGAAATCTGTCATCTCTACTTAGTCTACCCGAATGTGACTCCCCCACCCCAGCAATGTGGCTGGACTATTAACTGCACTCTGCAATGTCCTAGCATGCTATTCAATTCAAGGACAATACGGCAATGAATCTGATGCCCATATCCCATGAGTGAATGACGTATTTTTTAAAATCTCCCAAAACGACCATCCCACCACCTGTCGTCTGGCCCTCTAGCACTAGGAATGTTTAATGGAAAAATTCCCTTCCAGTGTTTGACATTAGAAAGAGGAGATGTAAAATTAACAGCAAGAACTAAGACTGAAGTCGAATACCTTTTAGCTATTGTCATAGTGCAGGAGCAGATCAACTGTGGGTAGGAACGGGCAGGTTAAAATGAAGAAGATAACAGTTTGTAATTGGCTGATTACAGCCAAGAGGCAGGGGGACAAACTTAATGAATAGAATCCCCAGGAATTTGCTCAATGATTTACATGTAGGTTATGATTCTTTCAGGTTTGGAAGGCAGTCTGTTTACAAATGGTGAAGGCTCGAGAAGCTGAGTGTCCTACTCCTAATTTGTACACATGCACATGTGCAAGTCCCAGGTCTGGTATAGTTTCTGGTATTAAAAGACTGAATTAGTGAGTCAAATGTTTTAGGTGTTTCTAAATTAACTGTAAAAATGTTTCATTTCTTCACCATCTTGTGAAACAATTACAGACAGCACCTGTGTTTTAAAAACAAAAATATCTCCCACCTTATAACGTAAACATCAGATTTTCCTGCTGACTTCCCAGTTTTTCTTTCTTTCACTATTCTCTTCCATCCTTTAGGAAGTTCAGGGTAACAGCCTTGGGTTACTTTAGCATCCAAAGCATGAACGATAGGCCCAGCTTCAGACAACAAAGACTTTGCGTTTTCAGTGTTTGCCATTTCAGGGTTTAAGATATTTTCTTTTGGTGGTTCCACTTGGGAAACAGTGTTCATTATTGCTGATCCCACCAGAAGGAGGCACTTACATCAGGAAAACTTCCTTTTAATCATTTTCCCTGCTGAAAATACAGCACAATTAATTACATTCATAGTTTGCTTCCCCACTTTCAAAAATGTATTCTTTCCACTGGATTTTGTACTTATGGGTACTTCAGTAATGATTAATACACTAGTTATATCGGAGTTATGACGTCTGTGCTATGCACTCTCAAGTCTGGCATACAATGGGTGACCTCTGTGTTACCTTGAATACTCCCTGCCCAAATGTTTCACACGTTAGGTGGTCAAAAATAACATTGCTGTTGCCTCAAAAGTATATTCCAATAACTTCAGGAAACAATGGCAGGGCTCATGAATTTCTGGCAGTTTCCCCATGTGTTAACATCAAACTATTGGCACATCTAGAATAGAACTACTTATTGGCCTGACTTTCCAAACTCACTTTATACAGGACCTGCAATGGTTCTGTTTTTACCACTTATATCTTCCCTGACCCATCTTTTGTTCTTTTAATACTATTCCTTCTTTCTCACCATCATTCCTTTGAATATTCTTTAAGCATTCAGGGGATGTGAGATCACTGGCAAGGTCAGTACTTGATTTCTATTCCAAAATGTCCATTGAAAGTGGTGGTGAGTGGTCTTCTTGAACAGTTGCAATCCTTGGGATGTAGGCAGACCCTCAGTGCTGTTATGGAGTTCCAAGATTTTGATGCAGCAACAATGAGATAACAGTGATACGATTCCAAGTTGGGATGGTGTGTGGTTTGCTGCCTACAATCTTTTTTTTTAAAGTAGCAATGGGTGCAGGTTCAGAAGGTTCCATCAAAACAATCTTGGCAAATTGTTGTGGTGGAGGACGTGAAATTTAAAGGTGGTGGATGAAGTCTGGCAGCATCTGTGGAGAGAAATCAGAGTTAATGTTTTGGGTCCAGCGACCTTTCCTCAGAATTGAATTTCTGTTCTTGCTTCCATATCATCAATACGGAAAACTATGTTCCCTTGTTGTTCTTCTTACCATCAGCTAATGAGAACATGGGGAGACCATGGCTGAGTGGTATTACACAGAGACTGTTAATCCAGAGACCCAGGTAGTGTTTTGAGTTTTGGCTAGAGTTTGAATCCCACCATTGGAATGTGAATTCAACAAAAATCTGGAATTGAGAATCTCATGACTCCACTGCCCATTGTTGGAAAAGGTCAGAAGTCACAGATTACAGTCCTAGTAGGTACTGCTGATGCTGGAGAATCTGAGATAACAAGGTGTAGAGCTGGATGAACACAGCAGGCCAAGCAACATCAGAGGAGCATTTTCTGAAGAAGGGTCTAGACCCAAAACGTCAGCTTTCCTGCTCTTCTGATGCTGCTTGGCCTGCTGTGTTCATCCAGCTCTACACCTTGTTATCTCAGATTATAGTCCAACAGGTTTATTTGAAAAGACAAGCTTGCGGAGCTTCACCTGAAGAAGGACCGTGGCTCTGAAAGCTTGTCCTTTCAAATGAACCTGTTGGACTCTGGTGTGGTATGATTTCTGACCCCAGTCCGACACCAGCACCCCCACATCACGACTGTTGGAAAAACCCATCCGTTTCACTGATGTCCTTTCGGGAGGGAAACTGCCATCCTTACCTGCTCCGTGCTACATGTAACTCCAGCCCACATAACAATTGCCAGTTGGTTCCCTCTTAATCGCCCTTTAGGCCATAAATACTAGCATACAAACGAATGGGAACGGGGGGTCTTAAAAAAACGCACCATTTTGTCTCTCTACCTTATTCAAGTTAAAACTGCCGGCCTGTTGACAGTTAGAAACTGCCAATGATTGCGTGTCTCTTCAGGATAATAATAGACCAGTGCGGCGGGTGTCAGGGAGATGAAGTTAAAAGCCGGAGTGCGGCGGGCAGGTTAAAGTTGAGTCCGAGTGCCAGCCGGAGGTGGAGACGCCAGCCCCTACCCTCCCAGCTCAGGGCCGCGCGGCTCCACATATCGCGAGAGTTGACCAGGACGACGCGCGCGGGAGGGCCCGGAACCGGGGCGCTCCTCCGGAGGGAGCCCCGAGGCCGCTTCAGCCCGTAAACCCCGGCGGCCTGGGTGTATTACACCCACTCTCCCGGGCGAAATGCGGGCCGTCCCCACCTGGATTGACAGGGTGCACGACAGGGAGAAGGTCGAACAGTGGTAAGGAGCTGCCAGCCGGCTGGCAGGCTAACCCTCGCCCCGCCATTGGCCCTGGTTACCGCATAGCAACGCGGTTTCTAATGTAAACAGGCAGGCCTGGAGCGACCATGACATCCAGTGGGGCTGGAGGGGAGATAACACACGGTGGGGTGGGGAAACGGTAACACAGCGGGGGGAGACAGAGCGATAATACATGGGGAGGTGGGAGCTGGAAGTGATAATAAGTAGGGGAGAGAGATAATATACGGGAAAGGGGTGTGAAAAGACATAAAAGACTGAGGGGAGGTTGGGGGGGGGGAACAATAACGTGTTGAAGGGGAGAAGGAATACACTAGGGAAATAACTTACTGTGAGGAACCCTCATGCAGTGGGAGGAGTGGTAATGGATCACAGGGACCAATAATATAATGGGAGGTCAATAATTGGGCGGCACGGTGGCTGCCTCACAGCGCCAGGGACGTGGGTTCGATTCCACCTTCGGGCGACTGTCTGTGTGAGTTTCCCCCAGGTGCTCCGGTTTCCTCCAACAATCCAAAAATGTGCAGGTTAGGTGGATTGGCCATTCTAAATTGCCCATAGTGTTCAGGAATGTGTGGATTAGGTTGGTTTGTGGGGGGTGTCTGGGTGGGATGCTTTGAGGGTTGGTGTGGACTTGCGCCGAAGGGCCTATTTCCACACTGTAGGGATTCTATGAACACACTGAGGGGCAAAAGTACATTGATGGGAGCAATAATAATGTGAACTGTGGCAATAATGTACTAGGGTCAGTAATAGATGGGTGTGAGGAGAGAGATAATACAGTTATCTTCTCCTTAGCCAGTCCCTCTAGTTCAGGGAGAACTACCTTCCATTCTGGTTTTGAGTCGTGAGGTGACGGTTAAATCCAATGTGAGATCTGGAGACTCTGTCATATGGGACAAGTGTATTTGGAGGGACAATATGACAGCAATAGGCTGACAAAGCAATAGGCAGTTCATGCACTCACTCCAACACTTTGATTTCTCCTATCCCACCCCCCTCCCTCCCCAGACAAAGTCTCTTGATTTGTTTGATACTCCCTTAGCATTGTTAGTGAAGAAGAAAGTGACTGCAATAGTGAGGAAGGATATTAACTTGGAAAATCATGATGCAGTATCTGTATGGTGGAGATAAGAAACATCAGGGGCAGTAAATGTTGTTGGGAGTAATTGACAGGCTGTATTACTGTTGTGGAGATGTAAGAGAAGGCATTTAATGAGAAATCTGAGATACATGCAAGAATGGTACAACTGCCATGGAAGTCTTTAATTTGCATATAGATTAGACGAACTAAGCTAGCAGTGATATTGTGGAGGAGGATTTCCTGGTGTGTGTATATATGACAGATTTTTAGATAAATATATTGAGAAACCACCAGAGAATTCCAGACTAGGTACTGTGCAATGAGGAAGGATTAATTAACATTTGTGTGTGGGATCTCTTGGGGAAGAGTGACCATAATATCATCTTGGTGTGCATATACACCAGTCCCTTAAGGTATTGGAACAGGTAGATAAAATGGTTAAGAAGGCATTTGCCCTTTTAGCCAAGGCACAGAACTTAAGAGCAGGGAAGTTACGCTGGAACTACATAAAAGCTTTTTCACCCTGAGAGTGGTGGGAATCTGGAACTTGCTACCTGTAAGGGAGGTACAGGAAGAATTCCTCGCAGCATTTAAGAAGTATTTAGATGTGCATTTGTGATGCCAAGACATACAAGGCTTTGGGGCAAGTGCTGGAAAATAGAATTAGTAAGTTCGGTCGTTGTTTTTGACCGATGCAGATGTGATGGGCCGAATGGCCTTTTTTCTGCACTGTAGATCTCTTATAACTGTGACTGTATGATAGAATTCTTCATTAAGGTGCAGAATGAAGAAATTAAATCTGTAATTGAGGTCCTGAATCTAAATAAAGGGAACTACTTGGGTATGAGGAGCGAGTTGGCATTTATAGATTGGGAAACATTAGTAAAAGGCCTGTCAGTGGCTAGGCAATGGTCCATAATTAAGAAATACATGCATGATTTACAACAATTATTCATTCCTATCTGGCACAAAAATTTAAAAGGAAGGGCAGCTCAAACGTGGCTTACAGAAAAAGTAGCAAACATTCAGAAAATGATTGGCAAGAGGTAGGAAAATAGCGTATGAGAATAAACTTAGGTGACATAATAAGTGACAATAAAAGCTTTGATAAATATGTGAAGACAAAAAGATCAGTAGGTCTGTTACAGTCAGAAGCTATGGAAATTATAATGGGGAGCAAAGAAATGGCAGAAGAATTGAACACATACTTTGGTTCTGTCTTCACAAAAGAGGGACATCCATAAATGTTAGGTAACCAAGGATCTAGTGAGGGGGCAGAATTGAAGGAAATCAATATCAGGAACAAAATATTGCTAGGGAAATTAATGAAGTTAAAGGCAGACAAATCACTAAGACCTGATAATGTATTTCCAGAGTACTAAAGGAAGTGGCCTTAGAAATACTGGATGGATAGTGGTCATCTTCAAAATGCTGTAGACTCTGGAGCAGTTCGTAGAGATTGGAGGCTGGCAATTGTAATCCCACAATTTTAAAAAGGAGGGAGACACAAAAATTATAGACCAGTTAGTTTAACGGCCAGTAATGGAGGGAAGTGGGGGTGGGGGAAGATACTTGAGTCTACTGTATAAGATGTAGTAACAGTATATGTGGAAAGCATTAATGCGATTGGATAAAGCCATCATGGGTTTATGAAAGGCAAATGATGCTTGACTAACCTACAGTCAGTTCTGCTTTCCCGCAGTTGAAGAATTTAGACCGCTATTCGTAGAACGTGAACCTGCCTGTGTTGACTATAACACAATTCCGGCCCCATTAGTTTAAATGGCACGGCTATTTCGCAATTTTCTTATGGCGTGAGATTGCACGAGAATGGAACTATCACGTTATATCAGAACTGACTGTACTTAAATTTTTTAGATTGTAACTAGAAGATTAAATGAGAGGGAAGCAGTGGATGTGGTGTATTTGGATTTTTTTATTGGCTTTTAATAAGGTACCACATAAGAAATAGGGACAAAATTAATGCATATGGGATAGGGTTATATTTAGGCATGGATTGTGAATGGTTTACAGACAGGAAAAAATGAGTTTTTTTTCAGGTGGCAGCCAGTGACTGGTGGGCTACTGCAGGGATCGGTGTTTGTGATATCCTTAATTTAGGCAAGTTGAGTGAATGGCCAAACATGTGGCAGTTGCAGTATAATGTGGTTGAAGTGAAGTTATACACTTTAGTGTGAAAAACAGAAAGGCAGAGTATTATTTAAATTGTGCTATTTTGGGAATTGTGGTTGTACAAAGGGATTTGAGTGTCCTCACACACCAGTCAATGAAAGTAGACAAGCAGCAAGTAATTAGGAAGACAAATGGTGTATTGGCCTTTATTCCAAGGTGATTTGAATTCAACAGTAGGGATATCTTACTGTGGTCTGGGTGAGATTGCACCAGGACCAGTTTTGGTCACCATGCATATGAAAGAATATACTTGCCATAGAGAGGGAGTGCAGTGGATGTTCAATAGGTTGGATCCCTGGTTCACTGGGGATGGCAGGATTGTATAATAAGGAGAGATTGGTTTGACTGGGATAACAAGGTGTAGAGCTGGATGAACGGAGCAGGAAAGCTGACGTTTTGGGTCTGGACCCTTCTTCAGAAAGCTCGGAAGAAGGGCCCAGACTTGAAATGTCAGCTTTCCTGCTCCTCTGATGCTGCTTGGCCTGCTGTGTTCATCCAGCTCTATGCCTTGTTATCTCAGATTCTTCAGCATCAGCAGTTCCTACTATCTCCGAATTGGTTTGACTGGGCCTGTTTTCAGTAGAGTTTAGGAGGATGAGGGGGGATCTGATTGAAACATATAAAATTATAACAGGGTTGGCTAAACTAGATGCAGGGAGGACATTTTCCCTATTTGGAGAGTGTAGAACTAGGGGACATTATCTACGTACAAGGTAGACCATTTAGGACTCAGATGAGAAAGTATTTCTTTGGTGGGTTTGGTTGCAAACGTCTCGTCACCCTGCTAGGTAACATCGTCAGTGCGCCTCTGGTGAAGCATCGGTGTTCTGTCCCGCTTGTTATTTATATGCCTTGGTTTGCTGGGGTGGTTGGTATTACTTCTGGTTTTGTTTCTCCATGATTTGTACACAGAATCCAATTCAATGTTTTTGTTGATGAAGTTCTGGTTGGAATAGCAGGCCTCCAGGAATTCCCTGGTGTGTCTCTGTTTGACTAGTGCGACTATGGATGTGTTAGCCCAGTCGAATTCGTGTCCCTCATTGTCTGTGTGTAGTCAGACAAGTGAGAATTAGTCATGTCTCTTGGTGGCTCGGCGAGTATGTCTACAACCTCATCCACAATGCAAGCTACAAATCTTCTTGAAAACTTTAAATATTTCTTGATTTGGAAGTTAGTAAATCTATCGAATTCTCTACTGTAGAAGGTTGTGGTGACCAAAACACAGAAAATATTCAAGAAAGCAGTAGATAAATCTTTAACAAATACAGAGACACTGGAGAAACTCAGCAGGACTGGCAGCATCTGTAAAAAGAGAAACAGAGTTAATGTTTTGAGTCCGATATGACTTATTCAGTTCTGAAGAAGATTCATACTGGATAATACTTAGGTGACTAATTCGTGGATTGGGGTAACACTCGGGCAGTAATACACTGGAAGGAGTATAATACACTAGGAAAAGGTTAATATACTGAAATAAATCAGTGGTAACGGAACAGTACATTGGCAGGCTAAGAAGTGAGAAGATGGTTAATATTTTGGAGAGGAGTGCTGCCAAATATATTTGTGTTGTGTACTTCTAGGAAGTGATTCATCATTATGATTGCTAATCATCAGTTCATTGCTTGTAAGTTTACAGAACTGTGTGTTTTTTTTTATTCACATTTCTGCAGTATTTATGATATTGCATTCAAGCCGGATGGAACTCAGTTGATAGTAGCAGCAGGAAACAGAGTCCTGGTATGTTCAAAATATTTGTCAATTTCTCACCTTTTAAAAGTCTACATTATCATAGATCACACAACTGTCAATAAACTCCCTTTAATTATGTTGCAATGGGAAGCCAGAAATGATCATGGGGCACTGATACCGGTATCTTACTTAGTTCAGAAAGCTTACATGGAATCAGGAAATAAGAACAAGCATAGGCCATTCAGCCCTTCCAGCCTACTCCGCCATTCAATATGATCATGGTGGATCATCCAACTCCGTATCCTGTTTCTGCTTTCTTCCCATACCCTTTGTTCCCTTTAGTCCTAAGAACTATAACTATCTGCTTAAAAATGTTCAATATTTTGGCTTCAATAACTTTCTGTGGCAGCAGATTCCATGGGCTCACTCTGAAAAAGTTCTCTCATCTCATTCCTATTTGGCTTACCCTGTATCCTAAGACTGTGACACCTGATTCTGAACAATCCTGTCATCAGGAACATTCTTCCTGCGTTTACCCTGTCTAGTCCTGTTAGAATTTGAGGCTTCTTTGAGATTCACCCCTGTCATTCTTCTAAACTTTAGTAAATATAGTCCGAACTGATTTCAGCATCTTTTTCTACATCAGTCCTGCCACCCTAGGAATCAGTCTGGTATACTTTTGTCGCATTTCCTCTATGGCCAGAACATCCATCCCCCGATGAGACCAAAATTGCATGCAGTATTCCAGGTGTAGTCTCACCGAGGCCCTGTACATTAGGGAAAACAAGTGTTCTGGGCATAAGGCAGGAAACTGAAATTGAGGATTATCAGATCAGCCATGATTTCATTCACTGTTGGAGCAGACACAATTGGGGATAAATGGCCTACTTTTAATCCTATGCCTCTTGGTCCTATTCATATATTGATCAGAACCCACAATTGTATGGAAATGAGAGTTATTTCCTTTCAACTACTCTACCATCAGAAGCTGTCACATTCAGTGGAATTAGTTATAGGTTTCCCTAGTGAAATATAAATACAGAGGTGGATACATTTAAAATGACAAATCCCTTTGAGATGTTTATGTCCGATTACAATGTAAGAATAGTGATTTGAATACATAATAATGATTACGCTGCCATAAAACCATAAGATGAATAAGACATAAGCAAAAGCTCCCAAATTTTATACTCTGGTTTTCTTTGAAATAAAGGCTATCATTCCATTTACCCTTCCTACTACCTGTTGAACGTGGATGCTAGCTTTCTGTAACTCATGGATGAGGACTTCCAAATCCCCTCTTTTGTAGCTTTCTGCAGTCTTTCTCTATTTAAATAACATTCAGCTTCTCTAATTCATCCTGCCAAAGTGCATAAGCTCACGTTTTCCCACATTATATTGTATTTGCCAATACTTGCCCATTCACTTAACCAGTCTGTGTACTTCTGCAGCTCTCTGTATTGTCCTTACCACTTTTCTATTTTTGTATCATTGCAAACTTGGCTATACAGGCAATCCTGGGGTTCTGAATGAGTTCCACTTGTTAAGTTGATTCGTACACCAGTTTGAACACAACACAGTACAATTACTGTTTTTAAGTACGAGCAAACATTTGCATGTTAGATTTTAAAACTATTATTAATACATCTCTGCATGGTGTCTTGTTTGTAAATCAGGGACTGCCTGTAGTGTATTCACTTTCCTCCGTCATTAGTACATAGTATAAATAATTGTGGTCCCAGCACTGTTGCTTGTGGCACATCACAGGTTGCCATTCTGAAAAATTTCCCTTATCCCAACTTTCTGTCTTCTTATTAGTTAGCCAATGCTGAATAGATGTTTGTATATTCTCTCCAACACTATAAGCTGTCATCTCCTGTAGTGGAATGTGTGATATCTTATCAAATGCCTTCTGAAAATCCAAATATATTACTTCCACTGTTGCCTCTTTCTCTATCACGTTTATTATTTCCTCAAAGAATTCTAGTAATTTTATCAGACATGAGTTTTCCTTCCTGACGTCATGCTGATCGTGCTTTATCATATTATGTATTTCTAAATGCTCTGCTATTAGATCCTTTATAATAGATTCTAACATTTTGCCAATAACAGACGTCAAGCAACTATAGGCTAGTTAGGTTTTTTTTTTGTTTCTTCCCTTATTTAGATTAATGTGCTACATTGGCAATTTTCCAATTTTCTTGGACATTTCCATAATCTAAGGGTTCCTGGAAGATTATTACAGTATATCTACTATCTCTGTAGCTACCTCCTTTAATAACCTAGGTCTTAATTGTCTTTATGCCTAATAGTTTCCCCTGAACTTTTTGTTTAGTGATAGCCACTATATTTACTTTCCACCTTTTGCTGATTGATTATTTAGTAATTTCGGAATGCTGTTAGTGTCTTCTACTGTGAAGATTGATGTAAAATATTTATTCAACTCTTCTGTCATTTCCTGGTTCCCCATTAATGTATCCTCCGCTTCATTCTCTAAGGGTTCACTTTGGCTTCTGTTTTCCTTTATATATATTTAAATACGCTTTTGGTGTCTACCTTGATCATACTTGCAAGTTTATCATCAAAGTTTATCCATCTGTAAATTTCTTATTTCTTCATTGCAATGTACCTATTCTGGTGTCAACTACAAATTTGGCTATAGTATTTTCCATTTCTGCATCCAGGTCATTAATATAGATTGAAAATAGTTGGGACCCGAGGACCAAACCCTGTGGCACCCCATTAGTTACATCTTACCAACCAGAAAAAGAATAATTTATCCTAACTCTCTACTTTCTGTTGGTCAGCCAATCCTCTATCCAAGCAAAAAATTACCCCTAACCCCATGTGATCTTGCCTTGTGCTTTATCCTTCTGTGAGATACCTCATCAAATGTCTCTGGAAGTCCAGATATGCTCCACCTACTGGATCCCCATTATTCATATTGCTTGTTACATCGTCAAAGAGCTCTAGCAAATTAGTCAGATATGATTTACCCTTCATAAAACCATACTGACTCTGATGGATTGCATTTTGACTTTCTAAATGTCCTGTTATTTCTTCCTTAATAGTGGATTCTAACCATTCCCCAACAATATGTTAAACTTACTGGTCTGTAGTTTCATACTGCCTTCCCCTTTTTCAAATAAGGGTGTATATTAGGATTTTTTCCAATCCACTGGAATTTTTCCCACATCCAGGGAATTTTTTGGATATTACAATACATTATTTCTGCTGACACTTGCTTGAAACCCTCAGATGTAGACCATCAGGCCGTGGCTACTTGTCAGCTTTCAATCCCAATGGATTGCTGAATATGTTTTTCTTTGTGATGATAATATTTAAGTTTCTTACTTCCACTGATTATGGATTCTACATCTCCAGATTGGATATCATTTCTTGCAATTGCACTTATTCCATCCTGTACCAACAATGCTGCCTCACCACCCTTTCTGTCCTCACAGTCATAGAACGTAGAACAGTACAGCACAGAAACGGGTCCTTTGGGCCATCATATCTGTGTTCACCGTGATGCCGTTCTAAACTAATCCATTTGCTCGCACATGATCCATATCCCTCTCTTCTCTGCCTGTTAACATGTGGATGATAATGGAATAGTTTAGGTTAGATGGGCTTCAGATTGGTTTCACAGGTCGGCGCAACATTGAGGGCTGAAGGGCCTGTACTGCGCTGTAATGTTCTATGTTCTATGTTCATATGTCTATCTAAATGCATATTAAACATTGCTATCGTATCTGCCTCTGCCCTGGCAATGCATTCCAAGCACCTACCACTGTCTGTCTGTGTTTTAAAAAAAAACTTACTTTGCACATCTTTTTTAAACTTTCCCTTTCTCACCTTAAACTGTGCTCCCTAGTATCTAACCATTTCCACTCTGGAAAGAAGACTCTATCCACTCTATCTCATAATTTTATATATTTCTATCAGGTTGCCTGTCAGCCTTTGACACTGTAGCACAAACAATCCAAGTTTGTCAAACCTCTCCTTATAGCTAATACACTCCAATCCAGGCAACAGCCTTCTCCAAAGCCTTTACATACTTACTTACTATTATGTAACAACCAAAACTGCACTCAATACTCCAAATATGGCCCAACTAAAGTTTTTTTTTTGTACAGCTGCAACATGACTTGCCAACTTTTGTACTCAATGCCCTGACCAATGAAGGCAAGCATGCCATATGCCTTCTTTACCACCTTATCCGCAGGTGTTGTCACTTTCAGGAAGATATTAACTTGCACCCCAAGATCTCTCTGTATTTATCTTATGTACATATCTCTGTATTTATTTATCTTAAACTTCTAAGGGTCCTGCCATTTAATGTATACTTTCCTCTTGCATTTGATCTCCCAAAATGCATCACTTGTTTCGCTGTATCTCCCTTGATATGTGACAATAAATCACTCATTCAGCCCAACTTTCCCACAAATCTGAATCCTAAAGAGATACCTATATCTACATCCTTTGATAACCTTTCTCACTATCAACAACTCCACCAATTTTTGTGATGTCTGTGGACTTCATAATCGGGCCCTTACATTTTCATCCAAATCATGCATATAAATTGCAAACAGGAGGTCCCAGCACTGATCCTATAACACTAGTTGCTGACTGCCGGTCAGAGAAACATTCTCCACAACTACCCACTGTCTTCTATGACCAAGTCAATTTTGTATCTTACTTACCAAATCACCGTGGATCCCATGTGACTAAATCTTCTGGACCAACCCAGCATGAGGGACCTTGATAAGTGCTTTAGTAAAGTACATGTAGACAACATCTACTGCCCTACTCTCATCGATCATCTTCATCACTTCTTTAAAAAAACTCAATCAGAGTTGATGCTGACTATCCCTAACAAGTTTATTCTTGTCCAAATGCGAGTTAATCCTGTCCCTGAGAATCTTCTCTAATAGCTTCCGTACCACTGATGTAAGGCTCTCAGGCCTATAATTTCTTGGATTATCCTTGTTGCCCTTCTAAAACAAAGGAACAGCATTAACTATTCTCTCCGTCTTCTGAAACCTTGCCTGTAGCTAAATGGGATATGACAATCTTTGTCAAGGCCCTAGCAATCTCCTCCTTTGCCTTACCCTGTATCCTGGGATAGATCCCATCAAGCCCTGGGGACTTGCCTATCTTAATATTTTTCAAGACAGCCAACATTATCTCTGTCTTAACATAGACAAACCCTAGAATATATAACACTACCCCTCCCTAATCCTACCGTCATTCATGTCCTTCTCCTTGGTGAGTACTAATGTGAAGTACTCATTAAAGACCTCACCCACACACACAAATGCCCTCCTTTGTCCTTGAGTGGCTCTACGTTTTCCCTACCTACCTTTTGCTCTTAATATAAATACAAAATACCTTGGGATTCTCCTCAATCCTACTTGCCAAGGACATTGCAGGGCCCCTTCTAGCCCCCTCAATTCCTTGTTTAAGTTCTTTCCTGCTTCTTTTATGTTCCTCAAGAGCCTTATCTTATTTCAGTTTCCTAAACCTTACATATGCTTCTGTGTTTTTTTTTTTTTTTTTGACGAATCTTCCAATATCTCATGTCATCAATGGTTCCTGAATCTTGCCATCCTTATCTTTAATGAGGATTAAAGATTCTGGTTCTGAACTCTGATCAACTGACCTGATAAGGCACTCATATGTCTGATGTGGATTTACCCTTAAACAGCCACCCCCAATCTGATTTCTCCAGTTCCTGCCTAATACTGTTGTAATTAGCCTTCGCCAGTTTAGCACTTTCACCTGAGGACCTGTCTTATCCTTGTCCACAACTGGCTTAAAACTTACAGAATTATGATCACTGTTCCCCAATTGCTCCCCCCTGAAAGCTCAGTCACCTGGTCCGGCAAATTCCCCAATACAGGGTCTAGTTATGCCTCTTCCCTATTTCAACTATCTGTAATTTGTTTTAAGAAACCCTCATGCACTAAACAAATTCTGCTTCATTTAAGCCCCTGGAACTAAAGAAGTCCCAGTCAGTGTTGTGCAAGTTAAAATCATCCACTGCAACAACCGTGTTGTATCTTTCCATGATCTGCTTACATACCTATTCCTCTGTTGCCCACTGGCTATTGGGAGGCTGATAGTGTAATCCCATCAGAGTAATTGTACTTTTCTTTTATTCCTGAGTTCTACCCATATGGCATCTCAACCTGTGTTTAGATTGTACTATTGAGAATATAGATAGAGATGTGCAGCTCTAATCCTAGGTTTGTACAGTTGATGATATCAATTAAGGTGTAAAATACATGTAAAAGTATGAAGTAAAAAATGCTGTGTTCTATTTCTAGGTATACGATACTTCTGATGGCACTCTTATTCAGCCACTCAAAGGACACAGGGATACTGTATACTGTGTTGCTTATGCTAAAGATGGTAGGTGACAAGAGTTATGTGCCTATGTAGTGGATTAATATTCCTTGTAGCAATTTAATAGAGACCTGTTTTCTAGCACTGTTTTGTTACGCTCTCAACCCTCTACCCGCATTAATGATGCACATTGACCATTGTACAATTTTCACTTAATTATATCAACATTCACCTGCTGAAGTAGGGACTCAGTTAATGACAGGTGTTTCTGTTAGGAGTACACTCTGTACAGAAATACAAATTGAACCCATATCAAATTTGTCTACTGAAGGCTCTGTGAGGATTCATAGGTGTCCTCTGATAACTTAGAGTCGCAGAGATGTACAGCATGTAAACAGACCCTATGGCCCAACTTGTCCATGCCGAACAGATATCCTAAAGAAATCTAATCCCATTTGCCAGCATTTGGCCCACGTCCCTCTAAATCCTTCCTATTCATGTACCCAACCAGATGCCTTTTAAATATTGTTATTGTACCAGCCTCCTCCACTTCATCTGGCAGCTTGTTCCATACATGCACCATCCTCTGTGTGAAAATGTTGCCCCTTAGGTCCCTTTAAAATCTTTCCCCTCTCACCTGAAATGTATGCCCTCTAGTTTTGCCTCCCCGCCCACCCTCCCCAT